ACGTTGAAGTATTTTTCCGCTGTACTGTACGGAGTGGTAATACACTCCTTATTTCCACTTGCTGAGATTGCAGACACAGCTGCGACACACACTGCAGCTCAATTTACACACACTAAAATCTAAATTGAATCCACCCATCACTCTCTCTCTTTCTTTGTGTCTCTGGAGAAAGCACACACGCACACAATTGGTCACTTGAGCATGCCCCAGATGTTCAAAGCACTGTGAAAGAAAATGCAATAAGGGCTTTCCATTCCTCTAATGTAGTTACAGAAATAGCCAAACGCCTCTGAACAGAAACGTAAAGGCCCCTCTAGGAGGACTCTGTCCACCACCGGAAAGGCTGCCTCCATCTCAAGGCTCTTTTGTAAAGAAATGCATATTCTACAATATATTATGAAAATTCTACATTTTGGATTTGAATTGCACCACTAATGCAATTATTCCAGCCTAGAAAACATCTTTGCAAACAGAAAGGTTGGCTCTACTGCATATTTGTATACAAATCATTTATGGTAAGTACATTTGAAATGGTAAATGGTCTTATACTTGTACGGCACTTTTCTATGCATTGCAGCACACTCAAAGCGCTTTCACCAAGCGCTACTTGGCCATTCACCCATTTGCACTTACAAACACTCACACATTCACACACCGTGTTATCATCGGGAGCAATTGGGAGTTCAGTGTCTTGCTCAAGGACACTTCGACATGTTGACTGGACAAGCCGGGAATCAAACTGCTAGGTTAGGAAACGACCTGTTCTACCTCCTGAGCCACAGCCACCCCTCTTTATCCAAAAAAATTGCTGATATAAATTCCATTAGGTTGCTCTCTATCTGGAAATGAGAAGCATGCAAAGTGTATTAAATACAACCTTTTGTTAACACTTAAAGAGCCCATGGCATGATTTTCCTTGTTTTTTGACTTATCTACAATGTTACAACAGTGAATTATCATCTTAGACTTGACCTAAAGCTCAAAAAATGAGATGCATGTATGTTCTAGTACTTCTATACAGAAGAAACTCAGTTTATACAAGTCTCACAAACTCTTGCTTGTGAGACTTTTTTTCTAACAAAATTAAGTATTAAGTGATAGTTTAAGGATTTCTTTGAATGGGCATTATCTCCAGGCAGTTGTGCATTCATGTGAGCTTGCCTGACATCCACTGGTGTCATTTTAAAAGCAAAAATTTTCGATAGCATGCAGTTTTATGGATATATTTTACCTCCTCCTGCTGTACTGTGACCAGAGGATGTGGAGAAAAATACGGGGTCTGAGGTTACTGCATGTCCAGGAGTGTTCCTGTACAGGGACTCGCTGTTTTACCTGACTGGGTCTAATCTACAAGAAGCTGACCAGTGAAGCCCCCGCAGTGGTGAATGATCAGCTCATCAACACTGGATTCCCCTGGAGGACAGTACCTGTTTCTTTTGACTGCTTGAGACCAGTGTGTCTGCCACATGATGTGTTGCTGGTTAAGGCACGAATTAATGACCCAGGATGTTATTGTTGGCACTATGCTACCTGTTGGAACTAATTTCACTACTATGGGACTGTATGTGGTTGCTTAGGGGAAGACACAGTGACCACAGGTTAGACCCTGGAGCTACTTGAAAGGGAGTGATGCTTCCACTACTCGGTGGGACTTAACGTTAAGTTAAAAAAAAAAAAAAACCACACGCTGCATGTCTGTTAATGCCTTATTTCTGTAATGTTAGAGACAACTGTTGTAAGGCCGGAGAAGCTTCTATGTCTGCATTATGCCAGTTAATATATGGGGTTTCTCAATTACCCACTTTGTTTAGAGTTTTACACATCTCTTTTAATCAATACATATACTGTTTACCCATGTATGGAGGAGAAATTGCAATTAATTAATTCTGTTGATGTTTGTTGTGCTGTCCACTTGCGACACAACACTGCACATTCATGAACTATTCTCTCATTTTCATGAAAGAGGCTCTCTGGTTTTATCACCCTAATTACATATTATTTGGAGTTATGATGGGTGCAAAGCTAATCTAAAGGTACCCAAGATTAAACATTAAACGGCTGGAAATGAGCAAAATGGCACGCCACGGGCTCTTTAACAAATGGTGACTACTAGAATCAGTTCCATCAACTCATTCATAAATAGAAGCAAAAATAGGTTGTAGTCAGTGTAGCCAACATGATTCCGGTATAAATTATCTGAAAGTTAACTGGAATAAATACTGTAAAATTCTATTACTAACCTTAAACAGCCATGATGCGAGTCTTTAGCAATCAGCATAGAGATGCATCGATACCACTTTTTTCAGACTGAATAAAAGTATTTACATTTAAATACTTGCCAACACAGAGTACTGACACAAGTACTTAATAATAATGTAATTTCTATAATATAAATTTGCAATTGCCTTAAAACTATTAAATTTATATATATGCGCACACACACACACACACACACACAACAGGAGACAGTGCACACTGCCTTAAACCTTTCTGTGGCAAACAGTGCTGCAACCATTCCTACTGAATATAATGTAATTGACTGAGGGTCTGTAACCTACTGCACAACATACTGTAATACAGTGGTTCCTAACCTCTTTAGGAGTGCAAATCTCTGCTAGGATGGAATACTTTCACAACCCCTGCCCAGAATGGCAAGTTTGGGAGCCATAATATCACAGTGTTTGATTTAATGAGGATACATGTTCTTACTTTAAAATGGCTGCTGTCTGTGTCTTCGTCCTCTCTGGTGGACCCATACCTGCTCTGGTGTAGAGGAGCTGGTGGTCTCAACTCATTTTCATACACAGAGCTCATTAGACTCTGCCGTTAACTATATAAAAGTAGCAATTGTTTTCTTCTTGTTCATAACAATTCACTATAATCAGCATAATGAGCACTGTACAAGACCAGACATTGTGACCACGGGGAGAGTGCTGACATCACATTTCTGCAAGTTTAGTGTTGTACTCTGCTTGTGCAACAGGTGTTTGATTAATTTCTCTCACCATTACTGTTGGATTGTACTGTACATATCAAGCATTGACGTCTCCACAACCTTGTGTCTGTGTGACATAGGAAGGAGCGCTCACAGTTGCACACAGCAGAGCAGAGAATCAGAGTTAAAGTTCGCAGCCGACTTGACTTTTGTCTTTGTCACTTAATCTTAAAATACCCACAAACCCCTGAAATTTCTTCTTCATCACATAACAGCCTGCTCAACCACCTGGTAGTTAACATAATGTTGCTGTTAGGTGCTATCAGTGCGTAGTATCAGAAAGGTTTTATAAGCACAAATACTAGAGGGTGGTATTTGACCAGATACTGTTGTAGGTATTGGTGCATCCCTAACACAGATGGACAATGCATCACCACTTCCCTCCACTCTGCAAAAGTAAAGCCAAAATACTGCGACTACGGCAGCTACCATTTTAGAACCAGACTGCTGTCAAAAAAAAAAGAAAGTTGTCAAATCACCCAAAAGACATCATTTTTATATCATCAAATAACTTATTAAAATCAAACTATCCAGAAAAATGAGCACTTGTACAAAAATGTGTGATAATATCTGCCAGAAATGACCCCTGGGAAAAATGTATTTGATTCGTACTTTTGAGTTTTTATTTTGGCTCATGTCCCATCAGCCAACATGAAGGGAGTGGGGTTCGTCCTATACTTCACCCCCAACGGGGGGGCGATCAACTTGCAGTGACTACACCTCAGAGCTGTCAGACTGTCCATCTTTACAGTCAAAAGTCCCTAGTATAAAGTGGCTATGGTTTACATCCTGTATTAGTCACACTGTTACCATAACAGACTTGTGCATAAATGGACTAACACAGCCACCTATTAATATTCATTTGTGTCACTCCAAATCACATGTGTGTGATTTACAATAGACCAATGCCATCAATACATTCAACTGTTCCAAAGGATACAGCCTATTATATGTACATATTCGACCCCACTAGGAGAACTGGTCAGTCAGTGTGCAGGATGTGCTGGGCTGCTGCACTGACCATTAACCTGTAGGTATATTATAGGATTACTGCTATGATATACTGAATACAAAAATACTATTCAAGTATGATAGGGTTCCAGAAACTCTGCACTAAGCACCACAGTTGAGTCTCTATAGGAGTATTATAAAACATTATAATGTTACCATAAGAGGAAAAAAAAAAGATGGCATTAATTAAGTCACTAAATTCATTGCTAAGTACCACAGGTACAAGGTAAGTCCCTACAGGAGTTGAGCAGAGTACTGTGGTATATTTATCAGACCTGTATTAGACTGACCCCTGCTTAGGAAGCAGGCTTTCACAGACACTTATACAGTTTATATATAGACACTATAGGCTAGAGAAGCGAGTAGCAACTGTGGCTCTTTCAGCCAAAAAAACCTCACATCTGAAAAGATGGAAAATAGTATAGGAGTGTTTAAATCTATGTGAACATGCTTACACAATATTGTTCCAGGATTACTAATTATTTCTCTGGTGACCGCACCTCATGAAAAGTAATTTCAAAACACTTCTGTAAATGTTGCTGGTGGAAGTATTGGACTTAAGTGAAGGTACATGTATAGACTGACAGAAGAGTCTGTGTTAAGGGGTGACATATTTCATGAAACAATCTAGCGCCCTTTTCAAAGAATTTTCATTATAGATAGTTATTGCCACATGTATTAAAATACACACAATGACATACCTGTGCTCTAGCTGTCTCCTCTTTACATACACAGCCATCACATAAACCACTGCACTTGTGCTATTTTTCCACCCATGTAGAGCTGCAGCAGATGTTTGACAAGGCCAGACAGTCTGGACTAGGGTCAGGGGTATTTTGGGTGCAACAGCCAGTCTTTTTTCTTGTAAAGAAAAATCTAAAATTAAGTTGTTACAGGCCATCAAGCTGCAGCTACAAGCTGACTTTGGGAATCAGCTACATATATAGACAGACGGAGACAATAGGGTTATTAGATATGCGTTTTAGAGACTTACTTCATCTGTTTGACGATGGTGCTTTTCCCTGACTCTCCAGCCCCTGAAGGATAAGAGAGAAGACAGTGTAAACATGGTGTATGTGTGGGTTTGTGTGTGAGAGAGAGCAAGATGGAGACAAAGTGAGAGAGAGGAGGGGGTGGGAGAAAGTAAGAGAGAATGAAAGAAATAGAGAATCAGCCTCTTAAAAACCTGCGAATAAGGACAACAGCAGCAGCAAGGGTACAGATAAAAGATGGAGAAAGTGATTGCACCCTTTCCTCCTTAACATCCTTTTTTCATTCCTTCCTTCTGTCCCCCATCTTTCAGCTGAGTTACACAAATAGATTAAATACTTAGGCACTCATTTCCCACATAGAATCAATGAATCAATCTCCCACCCCAAACCAACAAACCATCATTGCCTGTATCTAGCCCTCCATTGCTGCATACTGCCATTTTTTCCTCACATCCATCTGCAGTTATGATGTGTGATGTAGTTCCCACCTTTTACCTTCACGCTGAATACCATTTTACCCAGTTGGCAAACCTTTAATGGAAAAAATCCTGTTATAGAAGGTGGATTCAGGGTGATGTAATGAGAAGGTAGGGTGGATTTACAAGGGAGATCAATTTATAAAACAATTCAATAGCCATATATTGGATTTTTCTGCATATCATTATTTTTAAGCTTATGATAGACGTTATGATCTTTATTTAATCCCACCACTACCCTACCCAACAGCGCACCGTCCCAGCACCACACCTTTCCTCTCCCCCGAGCGTTTCATTGATCTGCCCGGGCTGTACAGGCCCTAGGGCTGGGAATTCATCGGGCGTCTCTTACCGAGCAGCAGCAGTTTAACATCTTTGGCCGCGGTGAGACCGTCCTCCTTGAGGTTTTTCTCGATGGCTTTGCTCCGGTCCAGAGCCGCCCTCTCCTCTGCGCTCAGAGTACATCCCATGGTTAGAGAACACAGCTTGATAGGCTTTACCGGTGTCGGGATCCACGGAAGAGAAAAACAATAAAAAGGTGGATTTAATGAAACTTTTAAGATGAAACAAAGCTGGTTGGAAATCCTTTTTTTTATGCCTTGGTTTATTTCCTCCTTTTCTGCGCTCGCCTTCGATCCCTCTGTGTCTTTCTGTGGCTCTCTCGGCAGCTCCCTCTCTCCCGGAGATGCGGTACCGTTAAAGCATTTAAATCAGGGATGCACTGTGTCTGATCCACGAAGCCGAAACAACACAATGCAGCCTCCGGTGGTGTTTGCTTCTAAAGTGGGGTCTCGGTGGTGCAATATCCGTCCGTTCGTCCGTCGCTTCTCAGGTTTTCTGTCGGTAGGCTAAATCACGGTATCGGTTCTCTTCTTCTCCGATCGTCGGTAGTGCGTGTTACTGGACGGCGGGGAGCAGCGCTCGCATCGTTTGGTTCCAGCACGGCGTTCTCACGACGGCTCACGGTGGACTTTCCTCCGTTCGGCTCCTCCGGGCGGGCGGCGGGGACTCGCTGTGTAACGCTACTGCCTCCCCGTAGCTCCGGTAGAGGCTCGGTCGTTTGTCAGTAGTTCAATTGCAATTGCAGGGTACTGACGTCAGAACAGCGGGGAAGAAGAGCATCCATACTCCCAGTGGCGCGGCCTGGTGGTGCACTGTGCTATCTGCTATCTGTGCACACTCTCTAAGTCCAGTATTAGAATTTACGTCAAAAACTCAGTTAGGCCAAAGACCTGTTTTTAAATTAATTATATACAAATTCTGTATAAGTAAGATAGATAACAAGTGATTATTTAGGCTTTAGCAAACATAGTGGTCAAGCACATTAATACTTTGTTCTCAGTTCAATGTTAGGTGGTCACAGGTGTCCACATCACTCAGCTAATTAGAGCTAAGTGGACAGGTGGGCTCACCTGATAGGCTACTGAGCTCTGTAGGGTAAGTATTCTTTCTGTTCACATTCAAATGTTACACCCACAAGAGTAGACTACTAATGGTTAATCCGTAAAGAAAACGTTTAAAATACAAAGGCTTGAAAAAAGTTCAGTAATTGTCAGGGCTGAGGTAAGAAAAATTGTGGCCCTAGACTATTAGCTTTTAGGGCCCCTTTTTGTTGTTTTAAAACAAACGTATACACAAAAATTAAGTCCACAGAGCTGCACTGCTGCAAATATATACACACACACGTACAGTATCTTTACCATTGGTATAATAGGATGCTATGGTGTTTCTTAGTGGTAATGAATCAACAAGCTCAGCTCCATGTGTAGAGTTGGGTGCCGAACCCTCAAAGATGAAGAAAGACAGTATTTCTCTGGTATCATTTGTTCATACATTGCATGGACATTTTGGGCAACTGCCCATCCTCAGTGTGCAAACTGGCAGTAGTGTTACATCCAGGCACAGCAGAACTATATAACAATCATATCGCACATTACAGTCATACCATAGAGGAGCTTGAAATTGGAGACAAACCACAATAGACAGATTACAAAGATCCTACTAAAAAAAAAACAGGACAAAATCATTACTGGTGTGTTTTAGATCACAAAACCACAAGCAGGTAGTGTGGTGGTTAGTGCTGTCACCTCACAGCAAGAAGGTTCCGTGTTCAAGCCCCGGTCATACCAGCACCTTTCCATTTGGAGTTTGCATGTTTTCCCTGTGATTGCGTTGGTTCTCTCGGGGTACTCCAGCTTCCTCCCACAGTCTAAAGACATGCAGCTTAATTGACTGGAGGAGTGTGTGTGGTTGTCTGTCTCTTAGTGTCTGATACCCTGTCCAGGGTGTACCCGCCACTTTCCCAATGTCAGCTTCTCCAGCCCCTCTGTGGCTTTGTTCAGGATAATGGATGGATGGAAACCACAAGTACAGCACTCTGATCTGACCATCACCTAAAGGTCCATGTTCCATACCTCAGAGGTATTACAACAGGTCAGCATCAGCCAGTAGATCTAACACATAAGCAGCAGATGCAACAGTTGAGCCCAACAAACTCCAAAACATCTCTGAAACAGAACTGTACTGTACATTTTGAAAATGTTTAATTCACCACTCATTGAATCTTTTCCTGCTCTTATTTTAAGAAAAAATATTGATAATGTCCATAACGTCCAACTAACAGATCAACTCATATTCCAGAGATGTGATGGTTAAGAAGTAGTGTAGACGATGTTCACTCATTGTTGTTCTTAGTCTATTTTTGATTATTCCAGATTTGGAGAAGGAACGTTTGCCTGTTGCATTTCATACAAGCAAAGTAAGGTAGATGCTTAGGGTGATGTCCACATTTGGGAAAATATATAGTTCCTTCTCCTTTAGCATAATGAATAAATCCAGTGAAGAGGTGGAGGATGTGATTTTGTAGTGAGATCTTGTCCTCCCTCCTGCTCCCCTACATGACTGTGGGCCCTGAGTGTTGCTGCTGGTGGCAGCAGTGGCGGTTCTACATTGAATTACTCCCCTGGTGAGATCCCCGCACCCCCGGAAAAAACACTAAATTCTGCACAGTTATGTTTTTAATATAAGTGTATGACAAACTTCTTTCTCAATTGCACACATCCTTCAGCAAAACATTTGAAAACCACAATTCTGCACAAAACAGTATAAGTTATCCGAACTAATAAATATACTCTGTATACAAAGAAGTGTCAAAAATATGTACAATCAGAATTTAACAAGAGCAGAGAACAACAATAATATCAAATATTAAGAATAATACTCAGTAATGTCATAGAAATCGACCACCTACCAATTAAATATAAAAACCCACTCCTCATTTCTCTAGCTATTGCCAAGAAAACAATCTTTCAAAATTGGAAATCAAAAAAATCAATACACATAAACCACTGGACCAACCTTCTGACAGAATACATCACATTAGAGAAAATGTTCATCCACTCACAAGAATAGTTTATCTGCTTTTTACAACACGTGGAACCCATTTTTAACACATTTCAATTTGAATCAAATACCTGGGGCTGAGGCCACGCACATTCCCACCAACCTCTAGAAATGTAACAAGCTGATTTTTTTAATAGTACTGTTATCATCATTATTGGTCATTTTTGTTTTATTTTTTTTAATTTACTTCCCCTCCTTTTCCTTTTCTTGCATTTTATAGACTGCATAAGTTGGAAATACCCACACTTCACACACTACAACCTCGTTAAACACTTTATATCCTTTTGTAATGTCATGTAACTGTTGTCTTGTCTCCCACGTTCGGTACTGTTTTTTTAATGTGTTTCTTTGTTTCAATAAAAGAAGAAAAAAAACTAAAATGATATAAATAAAAACATTTTAAAGACTCATTCCACCCTGGTCACTCACTATTTAAACTGTTGCAATCAGGCAGATGGTACAGAACAATAAAAACTCAGAATCTGCTTTATTCAGAAGAATCACAATCTGTGTTATTGGCCAGGTGTGTCGGACACATGAGGAATTACACTCTGGTGCATCGGCTTTAAATGTGTATGTACATATCCCCATGTAAGGGGCAAGTAGACCGTAAACCAGCATAAGGCTGTGTAATATAACAAAATAAGCAGTATTAACATGCAACAAACAGTGCAAACAATGCATAATAAGCAGTATAAACAGGCAGTAAACAATGCAGAGAGACAAAGGAATGCTAATTGAAATGAGATGAATATGAATTAAAATAGAGTACTTAAAAATAGAGACCTGTATGGATCTGTATAATCTGTACAATGTACATTTACAGGTATTGCGATGAGGGTTATTGTCCAGTCATACTGTCGTGGGTCAAGTGTTCATCAGAGTGACAGCCCGGGGGAAGAAACTGTCTTTGTGCCTGGTTGTTTTGCATATAGTGACTTGTAATGCCGTCCAGAGAGGAGGAGTTCGAACAGATTGTGTCCCGGTCTGCAGTTATCCTATCCTCTCCGGCCTCCTTTTGATCCATGCGG